CTTGAGATGCAGCATACATGTATGTCTGCTCCCCTTAATTCTCTAACGGAAAAAGGAAGTCCCAAGGATTCGACTAAAATACCAAAAGTTGAAAGAACGGGGAAATACTAATGACCCGATAATCCCGAATATGGGCCTCTCTAATAACGCGATTTAGTTTTAAGCAATTAAATCGATTTGATACAATTTCAGCACTTCTTTCATTCTAGAAGACACTTAATTTTGTGCAGTTTACTGTTCGGTATAGTTTTGAACAACCAAAAACATCCTTATATAATGGAAATAGATTACTTTCTGACGGTCATGGATGAAAACATACTATGCATGTGTTGCTTGTAAAAGACTTGCTCGAAATGTATGATTTTGACTAGCTTTTTGTAACAGACATGAGAAATAAGTGGTTGCTGAGCTAATTAATATTGACACGAGTAAAAATTATATAAATATGTTTTAGCATATGTGAAAATTGAATTTAAAATTCTTCAAAATAAATCCATGTTTGATTGATCAGAAATATTATTGTTAGCTGTTTCTTTCCTGTAATATGGACACTTTTCATGTAAAAAATGGTTTGTGTATGTTTATACCAGTTCCTGAATTTGCTAACGGATTTCTAGGAAACGTATTTAATAATAATTTTTTCATTAAAAAAAATGTTTTTCTGTAATAGGTTATAACTTAAACTATTGTGATGGATTCAATGCTGTGGAACTGAACATGTTATTAGAAGCATCTTAACACTTAAATATTGATATTTTTAGAAATGAGACATGTTTAGGGTTAAACGTGTAAAAAAAGTGGGAAAAAAATTGTGTTTAGACATGTGTTTAGGGGGTAAACATGTTTAGCAGCTAAAAACATGAAGTCTTACGCGTTTATAGAAATGAGACATGTTTAGGGCTAAACGTGTAAAAAAAAAGGTTAAACAAATTTTGTGTTTAGATTCTAAACACTGTTTTTACTGTTTTTACAGTGTATTTTAATGCTCGGTAAACGGCCGAAATTTAGGACATGCTTTGAAATATTCCAATTGACGACGTTATAGAAACTTGTCATCACCTAATCAACATTAAACATATGCACTTTTCCTATTTAATCTTATCTATCCTTTTATATCGATATATTTCTGGCGTATTCTAAAAAGAAACCCGTTGGACTATACCCTGTGTGCATCCAAGTTTAATTAAAAAATTATTATCCGTGTTTTATAAAACAAAATAAAGATATAAATTGCTAAAAAAAAAAAAACCAAACATTCAGTCTTTTTCGTGTTTTCCCTTTCATAAAAACACATTGTCCACACTTTAACATGACATTCTTCGTGTTTCCTTGAATTAAGACAATCATTAGCTTTTCTTTTTAGATTCATTTTCTGAAGAAAGTTCCAGTGACGAATTTGACGAGGAATTACATGAGGAATGTTGTTTCGAAACACCTATCATTCCTAAACCTTCTGGGCTCAAAGAAGAAAAAAGTAAGATATACTTTCAATCGAATGTATTTTAAAAAGTCAATTTAATAGGTGTTGAAATCTTAGTTATCATTCTACTTCCTTACTCTCAAGTTTCTAAAGCATATTTATAATTCTAAATTTATAATTTAATTCAAAATTATGTAAACTTGAAGAAATTTTTTTGTCGTTCACTGTGTAACAGGAACTTTTGTAAACACAAGTCTTTTGTCCCCTGCTATCACAGAGAGTAGGCTATGTTAATCTTGGTTCTGTGTGTCCGTTTGTCTGTCGTCTAGCTGTATTTCTGTCTATTTATTTCCAAGCAATATCTCGAGAAACCTTTTGTAATGAGTTTACGTAGCAGCTCCCTATGGCTTAAGTAATACCCCTTTTGATTTTGAGGTGTTCGAAAGGTCAGATTTCAAGATAATTAATTCGTGATCTCTGTTATAACACTTTCGTTTTTAGCGTTTGCAGTGAAATTTTATACCACGCATATATTTGGCATTAAAAAGGTACCTATTTTTTGTTTAAAAGGTCAAAGATCAACGTCGTAAATTAATGTATTCTGTCTTGTGTAGAACCTTTAATTCCGTAGGATATATTGAAAAGCTTAATTCATACCATGACTCCTCATGGCCCGGTACGTCCGACCTTCTTAAAGAGTCCCAATCCCCTTATGAAGCCCTCTAGGTCTGCGCATGATCTTTTTTCCTTAAGCGAGGGACACAAATTCAAGTTTTTTTTTAAAACTTAAACTCATTTCAACTTTCCGATTCAACTAAAACCGGGATTGGCTGGTAATGGAAGATATAGTAATTTTTCTAAAGGCTGGGGGTTAAGTATCTATTTCATTTACAAAAGGATTAAAATAACACCAAACCAATACACTGGAGTTGGATGCATCATGTAGGCAAGCTGATTACCTTTATATATTATAATTATCTTATCAATATTATCAGAGATCGGTTGAGAAATAGGTCCAATGTCAATTTTAGAAAAATTATTTTATTTCTCCTGTTAAAACTCTAAATGAAAAATATGCATGGGCAATATGAAAACCAATTATCCTTCTGTATTCAAAAATCTAGAAGTGAAAAAAGAATTACATGATTACATGATCAGTACGTACTGAAAACCAAGTAACAACATTGTCTTCATTTGTTAGGCTCGTTATATAAATTGTATTTTAGAAGAACTTGGATTTAATTCTTCAAGTGGTCATCCAACATGTACTCATAGTTCCCTTTCTATGGAAGAAATTCCTTAAAATCATATGTAAGTTTTGAATATTTTTCATATCTCAAAGAACCAAAATGAATTTGAACTACAAAAGTATTGAACGACAGTATATTCAAGAAGTGTGTAAATCATATGTGTATTATTAAAAAATCCCAAAGACCTTTTGGACAACTTAAAATCACATGATGCTACCAAAATCAAAAGCTTTAATTAAAAAAATATATATAACTTTTCAACTTTAAACACAACCATTCCCATCGATAAATTAAAATCCAGGCTATTTGATATCATTTACAGCTGCTTTTACAATAAAAATGGAATCATAAATTTACCAACCTTGTCAATGGTCATGTGCAACTTTACTTTGTTAAAAACATTCTGATTGTACACATAAGTACTTTGAAGTTGACATCAAAGAGGTGTCCGAGTTTCTGATTGACAATATCTATGTTGTTTTGGAGACCAGGTCTTCCAAAAATCTATTGGAATTTCCATGGGTTCCAATTTTGCCCCGATATTGGCAAACCTTTTTTTGTATTTACATATAAAGCAGAATTTGTGCTACATGTAAATCTTATGCGTGAAAAGAAGAAAACGCTTGTCGTGACCTACAACTCGACATAGACATATAGATATATGGACGACGTAATCAATTAACAATGGTAATTTCTTTTCTGATGTCTATGATATATCATGGTGAGCTTGAGATGGAAGATACCGGATATAGAGTCTGAAACATCTGTTTCGTATTTGGATATTTTACTTGAAAAAGACGTTAATAGTAATCTAACAGCCAAGCTCTATGATAATCGTGAACACTTTAGCTTTTTTATCAACTTCCCTTACTTATGTTGCAGTATACCTTAATCAACTGCATACGGAGTTTGTATATCTCAGTCGATTCGATACACAAGAGCATGCTCTACGTATGAACAATTCTTAAATCGATGAAACAAGAGTATCAACAGTCTCGTTTAAAGTCATCATTTCTTAAGTTCTACGGTCGATACAATGACCCTGTTCAGCATATACAATTTGTCATTGAGTCAAATGTTGACTGGCGTTTTTCATACTAATTATAAGTCCATAATATATACTGTACACTGAATTGACGACGGATTTTTCCGTTATTTCCTGATCATATCAAAGAACAGACACGGTTGAAACCGGTCCGCGAGGGATGCTCACTCCTCCGTGGCACCTGATCCCACCTCTAATGTTTTAAAGTTCTGTGTTTTCTCTGCTCCTATCTAGTATTGTTTTATGGACTTTTGATTTGAATTACTGTTCGATATGCCCATAGTTTTAAAGATATGTATGCCGTGTTAAGCAGTATTTTTGCACAGCTGAATCCGAACAAGAATTTCTGGAGTATGATAAGCTACCAAAAATGAAGCATTCTTGCAAATTCGACGAAATTTTATTCGGTATGGTCAGGAAAAGAACACGATATCCTCATGCATATTTATAAAGGATTGACGTTTATCTTGGATCTGCGCATGTGCGCGGGAAAAGCATCGACAGAATCATCAGGTCGAGGAAAATATTTTTTGTGACGTCTGTTCAGTGAGGGACACAAATAGACCAATCAGCTCAATGAGTTTCATTTAATGCATTTATAGGTTACTACATAAAATACTACATGTGTTTTTCAAAAAGGCTAGTTTTTTAAATCGCTCTCAGAAAGACTTGATGCATTATGTACATTATTATCTACTAATCCCATGCTCATATTTGCATACAAATGATTAACAATGATGAAAATTAAAGTTTTCCCCACTCCATTGTACAGGTCCGTTTGTTTAGAGTTTCTCCGTGCTGTACTGCTAGTGGACATTTTCGGTTGGTGAACATTTACGGATCTTCAGTATGGAGCGCATTATGCGCAAAAAATATTTTATGTCATGTACAATGTATGGAAAGTAATTTAAACTGCTATGTTTACACCCTGAATGGGATATCGTCAATTATCCCTTTTGGTTTTTTAATATGAACTACATAACATATGTAGATGAAACTTACATACCATACATCTTGCCTTCTTAGAAATATAGTTGGGCTAATAAAATAAAATTGGTCAAGGAATTCCAGGCCTCTAAACACTATTCCAGTTTGAGGGCACAACCAAGCATTTCGATGAACACCATTAAGAAAAATTAATTCAGGTAGGTAGCATCGGTTTTTTTTTAAAGTGGGTGGGGGGATAGAACAGTCAAAATAAAAATCAACTAGCTCGAAGAAATCTGACAAGTAAAATAGGTTCAAATATCTTTCACTACTAAATTTTATTCATTCACTACAATTTACTGCCAAACTCCAAATTTCACTTTCGAATTAGCCCGAGCCAATGCTGATACCTGGTAACCTACTTGCAAGATTTTTTATATTATTTTCAAGGGGTCAGAAATACTGTGGTTCATATGTAAAGAATATATTTATATTATTTAGTAGTATTCTGGTTTTGGCATTCAGTATATTGTGCAGATTTATACATAATATTCTGTGGAATACTTTTTGTTGTTTTGAACCATTAAGAAATGCAGAATCGAATGTATCTAATAACCATATTGATTGATCAAATTACATCATTTGTTTGTATTAGTTATTTCATTTTGGCACAACATGGTTTCCACACTTCTTTATCCATAGTCGCTGACATCTGTAGAAGTTCACCCAACCGAAAATGTCCATTGAAAAGACAATTGCACGTGATTATTCCTCGGCACAAAAAGTAACCAACTCTGAGGTGCTCTCAATATTGACAATCCCTAACTCACGTGTTTGTAGTAAAAACGTAGTAGACCATCATGCTTTTCGGTTCATTCACGAGATTGGACCATTGTTTGCTGTAAACATGCGAGACAACGTGATCATGAATATTTCAATAAGAGGCGGTTTTTTATCCGACACGGAGAGAAAATAATTTTTACCAAATAATATTTCATAACTTTTAAAAGTGATGGAGGGGAGTTGTCTTATTTGCAGAAAGTATATAACTTATATAACTTGATGAGACACCACATATATTTATAACTTTTAAAATAAAACACTAATACGGCATATATAGCTTTAATATGAAATTAATACTTATCAATTGTATCACTAATCGGTTGAGAAATAGGTCCAATGTCATTTTGAAAGTAATTAATTAGACCTTTACTGTTACAACTCTATATAAAATTAATACATAAAACTGTCTAGTTCCCTGATAATACTGTAGACGTACTTTTTTTCCACGGGGTCATAATTTCGTGGAATCTTAATTTCTGTTTAATCCGCGGGTAGAAAATTAAGCGGATTTTCTGGATTGTCACTATATGCCTTACATTTATATTAAGTACGCTTGGACAAATTTCCGCGGAAAATTTGTGACCGCGTACATAGCGTAAATTAATACCACGCGGAAAAAAGTACTTCTACAGTAAACTATTTCTGCATCTGAGGACTACGCCCTGAAAATCAGAGATACTCCCTGGGACTACTCCCTCATGAATATTTATTGATATTTTTAGCCAATTAAAATGACCAGTAAAACAGTGAACGCTCCATTCAAGGTATCTGGAGTCTGTGACATGCATTATGTTATTAGCAATTTTACAATTACGTCAAATCTATTCGAAAAATCTTCTTCTCAAGAACACCGGGCCATGAAAACTGAAACTTATAGGGAAACATCCTTGGGTGGTGTAAATTCTACATTTTTAAAATCTTTACTAGCGGGGGTTGGTTTGGGTCATAATTGGGAATCAATGTTTTACATGGAAATATATAGGAAAAAACTTTTAAAATCTTCTTTTCAAGAACCACTGGGCCAGAAAAGCCGAAAGTTATGTGGAAGCATCCTCGGGTAGTGTAAATTCTAAATTGTTAAAATCATTACCCGCGGGGGTTGGGCGGGGCCACAACTGAGAATAAAAGTTTTACATAGAAATATATAGTAATAAACTTTAAAAATCTTCTTAAGAACCACTAGACCAGAAAAGCTGAAACTTATGTAGAATCATTCTGGGGTAGTGTAGATTCTAAATTGTTACTGTGACATTGTTAGAGGGGTACGGCAAGGCAACAATAGGTATTACAAGGGAGAAAATATGGTAAAGAACAGCCTCACCAAAGTTACTCAGGGGAGCGATGTGGCCCATGGGCCTCTTGTTTAAATGTGTGAGTATGCGGTTATATACCGGTAATCCGCTATATGATTGTTTCGGTATTAATAAAACACCAGTTTTACTACAGAATATATAAGTTAAAAAAAGAAGGAACATCTAATGCTCTGTATGTTTTTAAAATGTATTTTCAAAAGACAATGATTTTCTTTAAAGGAGATCAACCCATGAAGATGTTAAAATTGATTGAGAATCAGAAATTTGACGGATCTTGGGAGTTAACAGAGACAATCTCAAAAATACTCGGCAAATCACAAAATGAAATAAAAACATCTGCAACGATACAGGTAAATTGTATAAAGGAATTTTAATTTTAGAGTGAAAGAGTTGCATACAGTTACACCTGTTTGATGTATACTACTTTCAAAGCAAAACAAACTAAGTCAAACCTAGTGGAAAATTATGTTTTATCCCTGATGGTGTTACAAACCCTTAATAATTTTGAAGAAAAGGAGTATAAGTATGTATCTGGCTATACAGGTTAAGATTTTGCATCCTAAAATACAATTTCATACACATCAAAAAGATTCAATTGATAATTATACGCTTTTTACCTACAGGATGTCAATGTTTGGACGACAGCTCTTGCAATTGCATTTTTGAGAAAGTATTTCATAAATCAAAGAGATGAATGGGAGATGATCGAGGAGAAAGCGTTGAAATGGTTGAAGACAAGAAATGTTGAAGGCAAAGATGTCGTACAGGAAGCAACGACTTTTTTATCAACATGACTTTTTTTTGTAACTTCAGTGATATTTCAGCCTGATAATAATATTCCTTTTGTGGACATTTTACTACACATATCTTGTATGTTACATATCGCTGCACTTCATGCAAAACAAAAACTTTATGTAATCTTAAAAATATATATTATCACTAGTACTGACAGTGTAAGGATTAAAAGTTCCAGATGGTTACTGTAAGAATCGCTTTCGTATATTTATGATTTGGATTATCACTTCTCAAATAAATTTCAGTTTATGAAGTACAAAATTTGTAATAATGCTTGGATTTTGAGGAACTATTATTTATTGCAGTTATAATACATTGATTTTGTTTTCCGTCTATTAGTCTTGACTATATTTGATACAAAAGTACTTTAGCAGTTTTAATAGTCAGGTATTTTTGAAATTAGTAGATAAACTACACGAAAATAAACCTTTTCTTTAATTGTTCCGTATATGTTTTTCAAAGACCGAAATAGCTTAAGGCTAATGAAAGAGGGAAAGGTTTTCTTACACTGTTCAAGAACTTTTGTTTTCTTTTATTTGTACAGGAAACTTAATATTCAAAATTACAAACAGTGAAAACGACATTCTTATGAAATAAATAAAAAAACACCTTAAAAAAATAAACAAAATCTATGAAAGAAAAAAAATAATCCAAAGATGCATACAATACATGTATATAAAGTGTAGAGCTAACTATATTATATATTTAAAATGCACCCATACGCTTAAATTATATAATAAAAAGAGTGCCAACAAAATGTTGTTATTGAAAAGGTACTTGATGGTGAAAACAAAACAAACAACAAATTAACCACCAGATTTAACATAATGTTTTAGATATGGTATCTTAAACTGTCATCTATCATTTGGCAAAGAAAAAATTCATACAGTTTAGTTTTAAAATTTGATTATGTTTTGCAGTTAGAAAATCTCTACTGTATTTTTGTATATCTTTCTGGATATGGAGCTCTTCTTTTAAGGAGGTCAAAATAGTCTGGAAATGGCCACAACCCCCAGTCCATTTAAGGAGGCTGGGGGTCAACAAATTAACCATCAGATATAACTTATTTTAAATAGTATAAAATGGCCACAACCC